TAATTTGAAGCAGTTCGTAATATATTTTTTTAATCCACTTAGTTACTAAATAAATTGTGCGGATTTACTTTTTAAATATTTTTTTTACTAAGGCCAGTATTCGCGTTCTTAGTAAATTCAAGATTATCATTTATACACGACTTAAATAATTTTATCAAAAAAATAAATCGCTACATTTAATGACTTTCTATATCTCTATCAATTTCCGATAAGACCTCTAGTTAGAATTAATATTTGGGCTTCAAAAATTACTCAAAAGTTTCGACTTTTATTGCAAATTTCAGTGACTATTGTGTGTTGCCTATCCTCTATCCCTAGCCCCCTTAATGGCAAAATGAATTACACAGTGAACAAAATCATTCATCCTGTTGACGAATCTCGACATTTGCATTTCTTTTCTGATGTACCGCATTTGGTTAAATGTTTGAGAAACAGATTCCTAAAATCCCGAGTTCTGATTGTAAGTGTGCCTATACAAATTTTAATATTTTATCTTATATCAATAATAATACTGTAGACGCCTGATGGTACTGCTGATTGGGGACATTATGAAACGTTAGTTGCGTTGGATATGAATTTACCCCATAATCTACGGGTATGCCCGAAATTGACCACCATGCACACTCGACCTAATAATTTTATGAAAATGCGAGTTAAAATAGCTACACAAGTAAGCATTTTTATATGTCCAGAGAATTAAACAGTATCGACAAAATGTTTTAGATTTTTAGCAACTCTACAGTAGCCGGAATACAGCATTATAAGAAAACCAGTAAATTATTAGAAAACGCTAATGGAACTATTTTGTTCACAAAAAGATTTAACGATCTTTTTGATACTATGAACAGGAGACGCTCTTATGAAGGTATTCGGTTGGGGAGTGCAGATTTTCAGGTATTACAAGATGACTATTATTATTATTATTATTATTATCCGTCACTTTGAAGGTATTACAAGACAATTTAAATTTCTTGAATTTTTGGGAAGGAATGCTTCTGGATGGCGCTATTACAGAAACTCAGTTCTTAACTAGATCTACCGGTGAAGGCTTTAGGGTTTCAATCTTATCAACCATAGATTTGAGCAACTATTTATTGTCTCAGTGCAACTTTAAATACGTACTCACTAGTAAACTTAATCAGGATCCACTAGAGGTACTTATGATATGCATGTTTCTTTTTGATCTTTAAAGGACTAGAATATATTTTTATTTTTTCCTTGCCAATTTTCGGTGTACCTTGGAGTATATGCAGATTTACGATATTAATTTCATACCAAATAAATTACTAATTTGTCATCACAGTGAATAATAATATTCACCGTCCTTATCACTTTCATATCGTAGAAAAGAGTACACTACTCTAGGGTCACCGTGGCTAGGGTGTAGCCTCAGATGCATGTAGTTTTTTACATTTCTGTTTTGTTAGCACGGATTATTCTCCTTGGCTTGTAGAAAACCTTTGGGCATGTTAAAATGTTATCTAATGCATGTCGTAATTCAATTGTAAATGCTCACGCTTCGTAATTCATCTTTTATACATTTTCAGAGATTCTTTGGATTGATAAGACAAGCTGGATGTTCAAATGACCATCCAACCTTCACAGATTTTCTGCAACTCTACCGGATGCTTTCAGTTTACAAGTTGCTTAAACCACCAAAATTTGGGAACTGTACAGTTCCAGAGGACGACGCAAAGAATTCGACACACATTTTATCATTCGATGATTTTAAATACATATTTTGTGAGTCCGAACGTGACAGTCGCGCAGCACACATTAAAAAAATTCAATCCAAACTTGAAATGTCATCACTGAATTATGAAGATTGGGAAGAGCTTATGTTCGATAATTTATATCCAGAGTCGAAGGAACACACGACCAGTGATATTTAGTGTTGCCGCGAGACGAGACGAGACGAGACTTTCGAAAGTCTCGTCTCGTCTCGTTACCTCGAGACGAGACCAAGTCTGAGTCTCGTCTCGTCCTGGTTCAGTCTCGTCTCGTCTCGTCTAGTCTCGTTTGGTCTCGCCTGGTCTCGAGACACTATCCAAATATAGTGTATGTAGGTAGAGCAATGAGCATATAGCATATAAAAGACCACGAACTACGAAGGCATGACAAGTAAATAATAGGAGTAATATAGTAGGTACGAGAGCCGGACGCATGGAACCAGTAGTGATAAGCTAACAAGATGAAATCTTTGTTACTGGATTCCTTGCAACTTGAATAACACAAAATGAGTTTTCTGTCAGCCTTTTTCTGGCCGGAATGTTATTAAAAATAGGCACTTCCGGTGAATTTTTTTCCGCAAATTAAACCGAAAACCAAACCACCTGAAATTGATAACCGTAGGTTGAGGGCGATGGGTTTTAAGGAAAAATTCTTTTCTACCGAGTTTTATCCAGCCGGAAATAGCGGCAGAAGCGGATTAATTGAACTGTTTTTTTGTGAATTGCTATACTCATAACACAACAACTGGAAAATTCACATGCATATAAATTGAAAGTCACCTTTTCAGGAAATGTTGGTCTGCCTGCAGTTTTCCGGCCGGAAGTTAATTCTGCCAGCCCCTTAAATATCGCCGCGCGCTGCCGATTTTCGCGGCAGGCGCCGGCGGGCGATTCAAAAGTTGCCTAGTGACTGGTGACGTTTTGTGAACAATGTGCCAAAAATGTCATAAACTTTGTTATCATGATTGTCGCTAGGCAACGTTTGAATGAAGATGGCCTCCGTGTCCGTGGGCACAATTAAACAAGATATGTACGAAGAATCGCATACGATTTTCAGGGAATTTTTTGACAGCTCGTAATCGGAAACACGACTTCTAATCCGCAGTGATCCTTGAACTCGTAGAAATCGATTCGCAAAAGTTTATCTTTTTTTGTTCTCGATTTAGACTATTCCGCTAAAACAGTACAAATAAATACAAACAAATTCGAGACCAAACGAGAGTCTGACGAGACTCATGCTTAGTCTCGTCTCGTCGAGACGAGACGAGACGAGACTGAACCTCGGTCTCGTCTCGAAAATTCGAGACGAGACGAGACGAGACGAGACTGAGTCTCGTCTCGGCGGCATCACTAGTGATATTGAACATACTATCCAATGCATTCTTTATTTTCTCGCAGGTTTCATTTGTAAGAAAATATATAAAACATCACAGTGCAATCTTTGCAAAGAACATTTGTATAACAAAGAACCTAAGAAGTTTTTACCAGCAAGTGAATTGACAATTCTAAAATCTAGAGGTGGTTTAAATCATCCAAATTTATTCATATTTAGCACGCTAAGTCAAGTAGAATTGGTGCTTATGCGTCATGTTAGATCAGTTAATGTTTTTGAAGATACTTTGGACGATTTCTTTTCTTCCCAACAGAATACGATTTCCGCTTTCCCCTGTACGACTCATTCAAGTGATGTAATGGCACAAAGCGTGTTTTTTATATTGCAATGCGAGTTAAACAATTTTATAATCAAGAGTGTTCAAGAGTTGCCAAAATTTCGTCAAACAAGAAGAAAGAAGCCAAATTACAAATTGTGTAAACCTTTGTAAACGTGCATATTTCACACTTTAATTAGTTATAGTAAATGAATAAATACAAAATAATAAAGTATTATCTGTTTTAACAATGTTTTAGCGATTGGTACTATTAAAACCGCATATACTCATGTCCTATTTTTACCCGTTTGCTTACGGGGAGTAACGCTCACCTTGTAGTGCATTTATACCCCGTATACAGAAAATGAACCCTACGACGCGCTCTCTCTCTCTTACATCTTAGCGATACAACATTGGCACACTACGGAGCGCGCGGTCGGGCCACCTCTCTTATTATTCACCGTGGTCCAGCCTCACGTTGCTGGTGTTGGTGGACTTTCGGGTGTCAATTCTGCAGCCCTGCCCCAGATGTAGCCTGCCTGGTACGCAGACCGTTTGACGTGTTGAACCAGGGGGTACCACGAGTTGGAGGGGATAGCGCCTACGTGCTTATGCTGTGTAGCAAAAAGGTGTTTCCGCGCCTGATCAACACTAGTACATGAGCCATCCCGCACACCGTATCAGAAGAGACAAATGAGACTGTTGATAGGCCGGATCGAAGCCTTTCTGTATCATAGGTAATGTTTAGCGTACCTACTACCTACATAAATTTCTATCTTCAAAAGATTATTTTATTTTTAGTGTCAAATAAGAAGCTCTTGGAATTTTATATGTGCGAGAACAGAATAAACAGATTTGAAAACATTGCAAAACTCTAAACTGCCATTTGAAGTTTTAAATGAAACCCCTCTTTACCACTCAAATCAGAAGAGGATTTATTTACATTAGAAAGTTATCTAGCAGTCGAGAATAATTCTACAGCATTGGTAATACTGTGTGCAAAGGGTAACTCGTGGATAGACCTGTACTCAAAAACTATTTTTTCTACGAAAGTGATGAAAGTCTTGTTTTCTGAGAAAAAAGTAGCCTTTGAAAGTAGGGTTTTGTCCGCACTAGTGTGGAAAAATTTTTCCACACTTATTTTCCACACTCTTAAGTAAAAACAAAGATACCTTTTTTTTATTTTAATGCCACAATTTACAATTACAGCTACTTCTGGCTAGTAATATTTACATTAATGGTAAATGATGAACAGTTACTTATATTAACACCTGGAAGTAACGAATTTGACACAGAGCATTTAGAAGTTATTAATGTAGATGTGGACGCTGTCGAAGATGTGCAAGGATCATCTGGATGACATGTCGAAGGTGTGCAAGGATCATTTGATTGACAAGCATTACCAATTATTTTGTTACATACTTCTAATTTGCCTTGAAGAGAACCATCTACGTATCCTTCCGCTACCGTCGACGACCGCCAGCCGCCCATGACGTTTAAGACTCAAAAGGTCTGCTCCAGCATTAGCAAGTAGCGTTGCGGAGGTACGCCGAAAACAATGACCCGTAAAACTAGAAGCATTTGGCAATTTCAGGTAACTCGCAATTTTCTTAGGAATTGCTCAAAATGTATTAATACCCACAGGTTGTACGGTACATTTTCCCATTTTATAATTTAAAAAAAGTCGCGAAGTTTGAGCATTTTGAGGACGAAGCGCTTTATATTTCTGGTACAAGTGTATCCAATTCTCTTTTCCCTCCGTAACAGAAAAAGTTCTTGGAACATGCGTTTTGGAGTCTGGAATCGTTACGAGTAAAAACGTATCTTCGCCTTGGATATCGTTCACCGTCATTTTCGTCAACTCCTCTCGACGACAAGCCCCAGCAACTCCTAATATTAGAGCAACCTACAAATAAATTTCATTATTTGTGTGACATATAACAAATGTATAGACATGAAAAAATAGTAGGTAAGTATAGGTGCTTACTTTCATCATTAAAAATGTTTCATCGGGTGCTTCCTCTAAAAACGTACTGATTTGTTGCCTCGTAAAAGTCAGCGATTTTTTCGGCTTGTGACCAACAGATTTACGTTTCAAAAACGATTGTAACTTGGCATACTTGGAAATGTCGACGTTGTCTTGCAAAATCAACATACTTTTCAACATGGAATACATTGACCACAGTGTCGATGATTTCAATTTTCCAGATTTTTCGACAAAATAGGCAAGCAACACGGTTTCTGTATACCGCTTGACTTGTTTCATTTTACACCAATTAAAAAACCTCTCTCGTTCTTTTTCGTACCGATTTCTCGATTTTTCAGGCAAAAGCTCAGGCATAATTGATTCCGCCATTGCAGCAACCTCAGGCGGAGTGCACATAAATTCATCGCCGCTCTCACTTTCTTCATGAACACTCATTTTCAGCTTTTAAATTCTTGTTTTACTGAAGAAATTGCTTCGTACAAAACTACATGCAAAATTACTAACCGGCTTTTTTATAAACAACTCGTTGGTAACTAAGACAACGTAGCGGCGTCACGAAGACTTGATTTTATATTTTTACAGATAAACACGAGAATCGTACTACGACTTGATTTATACAGAAATTGTTGTTTTAACATTTTGATATAAAATTTTTCTCTAAATCTTTAAATTCGAGAACTTTCGTAGAAAAAATAGTATGTAATACACTTGCGGAAAGGATTATTGAAAAACTTGTATGATTGGAGCACGAGCGTTAGCGACTTTCATACGCGTTTTTCAATAAAATTCCGCACTTGTATTACAATATACTATTTTAGATATCCTACCTGTCACAATTGGGGGGAAAGGACGTAGTGGCCATAACTAACATTATCCTGAAATGCTTGTTGAGCAATGAATTGGCTTGTCTGTATAATTTTTGCGGGACACGAAAGAATAATAAAGCTTTTTCGGAACTTCGTTTGAAAACTGCTATCGTCAGTAAGTATCTACATCCTACTATTGTGGCCCCGTAGTTTGTTTGAGTTGCCAAGGTGGAAGTGTACTGAATTACGAACTTTCATGCTTTATTTAGGTCCACTAGTGCTCAAAAATTGTTTAGACATAGCGGTTTATGAACACTTTTTCCTCCATATTGGAATTACTATACTGATATCTGAAAAACACTTGGCTGAGTTTGGTGCTGAACAAGCTGGTCAACTGCTAAATCTGTTGGTTAACCATAGTTCTAATATTTACAGTAAGACTTTTCTTATCTACAATATTCATATTTTGTGTCATCTGCACCATGATGTTAATTTACGGACCACTTGATAATTTTTCATTGTTTGAAAATTATTTGGGATCATTAAAACGATTAGTAAAGTCAACCGTTAACCCTTTACAGGAAGTATTCAATCGTGTTCAAGCAGCAATGAATTTTTCAAATCGTTGCGATACTTCTGCCAATTATGATAATATTGATAATTTTGAAACAAAATTGGACCACAATGATGGGCCTGTAATAAGAAATGATTAGAATTTTCAAGACGTCAGACAGTATAAAAAATTACTTTTAAGAGGCATTACCTTGTCAGTTTGTTCGTATTCGAAAGCAGATTGTTACTGTATGGTACAAGATGTAATCAAGATTTATAATATCATCATTAATTCTGTTAACAAAGTGTGGATAATTGGTAAGGATTTCCGTTCTTATAAGGTAGCATTTCAATACCCGCCCATTTTAGAGGATGCATCCTACGGAAAATGAGGTTCAAGATATATTAATGCTCCCCAAGAAAATCAAACAAAGGCGAGAAGCATTAATATCTCTTAGAAAAGATACAAATCTATTCATCATTGGAAGTACACGCCCTTACCGAACTGGGAAGCAGGAATCTGAACACCCACAATATTATCCCTGCTTTTTATGTAAAGGCATATTTTTGAAACGATACCTTAAAAGGCATGCCAAAATAACTTATAACAACTTATATATAAACTTATATAACAAAATAATTGAAGTCGGTACGAAATGCCGATAGTAATACTAGAAGAGACCATGTGTCGCCATCACAAACTGTAGTGGCTTGCGCAAGTGACCCTACAAACACGTTGTCAACATTAAGGGTCAAAAATCAGGTTAATTATTTTCGTTTTATTTATTTTATATATATATATATATATATATATATATATAATTAGAACATGGTGCAGATGATCAATAGGGTAGTGCCAGTCAATTGAATGAATTATTTAATAATAAGCTACTCATTACCAACGAAGAAATGCTCCATCAATTTGAAGAATGCCTGTAAAACGAACCTAATACAGTAGCATCTTATGTATGTAGTATGTATTGTGATTCACTTTGTTACAAATGTTCGTTCAATTGTAGGTAACTTTTATAAAAAAATTGCGCGGTTCCACTTATCAATAATTTGTAAATCACTCATTAAAAAATGCAATATCTTACGTATTTGGGACAAGATGTAGTTGGTTGGGGTTGAGAAATAACCACCAAATTAGTGAAAATGTCACAGCCCAGCGGCGTCATATATTTTCCATTATTACGAGATACGACGTCGTAATATGACGTTAAGTGTACTTAAAAATAAATGAATTGAAGACGTCATTGTAACGTTACAAATAACAGTAAAATTTTGGGCAGGTATATAAAATAAAAAGGTTTCTTTAAATAACATTTACTTACATCTGATGTAATTATTTTCATTGTTTTGTTGGCTCGAATAGATTTTGTTTTGTTTTTTTTTAATTCATCACAGCCTACTTGATTAAAATATAAAAACCGTTGATATAACTGGTATCTTATTTTCAATCTTATGTTATGATGACTCGTTGAAAAGAGAATTAAAAAATCTATAAAGTAATCTAAAAATCCAATATGGCGCCCATTTAACTTTAGGAAGTTGGTAAATGTTCCTCAAAAGTGGCCATCTTAAATTTTTTTTTTGACATCAATTCTAAATTAAGCGTATCAACTGCCATCTGCGTTTTGGTGATTCATATTTGAAGAAGCACAAACGTGAGAGAATTAGCTACGTTTGTAGCAACAGAATGAGGGAGTTAGCGATGCTCCTTAATGCTTACAGAGAAATTGTTGGTCGCACCAACGTGGACTTTAAACAACTTCTTCTTCCGAAAAACTGTCATTCTGTGTTACCAGCAGTAAGGATCATAGTGGGGTACGACCTAATAAAAAATACTTTCAAAACGCCCAGTCTAGCCATGCACTTGGGAACGTCTTTAAAATTAGCTTGTCAGGAAGTGTCACACTTAGTTTAGAAGGAGACCAGAGGATTTCGGGCTCAATCACCAGACTTAAAAACCATTTGGCTAAAAGACATTAACAATTTTAAGATGCTTGTTGAAACTCGGTGGAACATCGAATTAGCGTCATTGGCAAATAAAGACTTATTGGAGAGAAGGTGGCAAAAACCACTGCTTCTTTCACTAGTTAGTGACATTAAGATATTTCGCGATGAGTCTTTAAAGATGGCCGAAGATTGTGAAAACGTATTTCGTCAAGGAAATGATGATAGAAATACATACAAATTACTCCTAAATTGCACTTTGGTACTGCTAATTGTCTTTAATAGGAGGCGTATCGGCGATATACAATACTTAAAGATTGCTGACAATACACGGGATATCCGTAGCGATGTTAACGATTTTCAGAATGTGCTAACAGATGTTGAGAAAATGTTGACTAGCAAATATAAACACGTAGTTAACGGTGGAAAGGGAAATCGTGCAGTAGTTATACTAATACCCGAACTCTTACAAAGGTTTTTTATTTATTTTATTTTTATTTTATTTTGCCTTTATTTTTGAGTGGGCGGGGTTTCAGCCAAGGCTGCTCTACCAACCCAACCCACTATACATTTACAAATATCCATGCCCGAACCCGGATTCGAACCAGGGACCCTAGCACCACAGTCCAGCTTTTAACTGAACTGCGCCACACGGGTCGGCATTTAGATAGATAGAATTCTAAAAAATAGGGATAAATATATTAAGTCCGATAATGAATACGTATTTGCTGTTCCTGGCAGCACTGTACCTTGGGGAAAAGGCGATGTAGCTATTAGGACACTAACAACGAATATGAAACTAAAAAATCCCACAGCAATGTCGAGCAACAAACTGGGAAAGCAAATAGCTACTGTAATGCAATTGTTAAATTTAAGCAAGGATGAATCAAAGCAATTCGCACAGTTTATGGGCCACACAGAAAAAACCCACCAGGAGTTCTACGAGTAAGTGTTTATTTAAATTATAAATGCCTATCACATATTTACCTGTACAGATTACCAGTAGACATATATCAGACGGCAAAGGTGTCCAAGATTTTGCTCGCATCTGAGAAGGGTATTCCTGCCCAATACAAAGGCACGTCCACTGGCAGACATAAATTTCGACGAAAATTTAGAGTATGCAGTAGAAAACAAAGGTAAGTTTGTAATTTGTTTATTCCCTTAGCAACCATTATAAATCTAGAATGTGTCATTAGATGCTGATGAAGGAGTAATACTTTTGGCTGAAAATGAACATTGAAGATGCACACACGAAGTTGCTGCCTAATACATACGGTGATTCCTATAGTACCTGCCACCGTTTGGGAGCGTATAGGGGGTGCCTAGGGCAGTATTTTGATATAGGACACTTGGGGTCGGAAATCTAAAATAAGGGCGCCAGAACCAAATTTATCTTCTGGAATTTCACGCCTGTATGTAGGCAACCCAACCGACCGACGTTTCGCGCGGAGCGCTGCAGAGCGAGTTAGCGCGAGGAAGCGACATGGGAGGGAAGGAGGGAAAACGACAGTCAAAAGCAATAACGTTTACAAGTGTTCAACGTGGCCACCGTTGTTCTCAATGCACTTCCTACATCTATCCAACTATTATTATACTATTGCCATAGTGTTTATTCACTTGATACGCGTCGTTGCAGACGGGATTTCGTGGGTTTAAACAAAATTTTGATCAAGTGTCAGCCACACATCGCCGCCTGAGATCGCTCCGTGTGCACCGCCGGCCGGTTGGGTTGCCTACCTACAGGCGCGAAATTCCAGAAGGTAATTTGGCTCTGGCACCCTTATTTTAGATTTCCGACCCCAAGTGTCCTATATCAAAATACTCCCCTACGCACCACCTACAGCTCCCAAACCTCCCAAACGGTGGCAGGTACTATA